TATTCACTAGTTTGGCGCCATCCATCTGGGAGTGTATGGGCAAGTAAACCCCAGCCCAAGTCAAGAAGCACTGATTGGCAGAAAGGAAATCGACTTGGCGAAAAACCTCCCAATACTGTATCCCATCCACGTCTGTGTGGTCCCAGTGGGATTAACTTCGAGACGACTGGAGTAAGGTCATCGTGTATATGTAAAGAGAAGTAGTTTGATAGGCAATCTGACCACAGCAAGAAGGAAGATGTGGCTGCGGAGGCTATTCACGAGAGCTCGAGGCGAAAATCACACAAATCTAATTCATTTGAGTTCGCTCGAAGTGATGCAGAGTAATGAATTCTGCCCAAATGCTTCAAGTAAATTCACCCCAGCCCTACCTGCAAAACGGTTTCATTAATCAAACAGACTCCATTCGATTCTAATTAGCACACCCAACAAGATGGGAGAACTTCATTCATCTCACGAGGCATATTCAGATTGTTCTTAAATCATATAAAATAGTTATCTAAACTGTCAGTAAAGTTTGCATACGAGATTTAGCCATCCTAATTCGCATAAAAGGATGAAGGACTAACAGTTTAATTGTACCACAATCACATGAGCACACCTCATGATACCAGCAAATATCCCTTTGCCTTGCTTTCTACAAAGTATTCTCATCTAGGCAGTTTCGAACCGCTTGAATTGATCTCATCACTACCTCCAGTGCGAGTCGAACCCACCATATTACCAAGAGCGCTCCTGGGTCATCGGGTAGGCCTCTCTCCTATCACACTAATCGTGGGTTTGTCGTTGTCGCAAACTTGTATTTTGCTACTACTCATATTCATACTAAGTAGGCTTCCAAAATATCAGTAAATCTTGAATAATAAATCGATTCATCTCAGACTGAATCGAGTTTACAGTCCGGATAGACTGATTATCTCAAACCATACTTAAATATAATACAATTAAGATCATCAATTGTAACAGCAAATGCAAGTTTGCATTACCGACAATTGCACATCTGCCCTGTAACCCACTGGTACGCAGACTGTGTAGCATTTTGTGATCGCTTATAAGAAGAGCTGAAAGCCTTTTCATGGTTTAGTTGTTTTCGTTACTGCCAGTAAATAAGTAGTATGAGATATATTCACCCAATTTCGTTTAAGGTGATGAAGGACTGGTAGTAGAACAACTTTTGGGAAAGCAAGGCTATGTGAAATTCAATGGAAACGTTGGCTCAACTCGAATCATTGTGGGAAAATTCTTATTCTACCAGTCCTTCATCACCTTAAGCGAAATTGGGTGAATACATTTCATAGTGCTTAAGCAATCAAGGCCTATTTAAGACCAATGCCATACTCACTACGCATATAGTAGTATCGTCCATTAATGATGTGGATATACTAAGAGTAGCTGGGTTTCGAGGAAGTTCTTGAGATGATTTTGTTATGGAAAATATTACTTTATACAAAAAGTGTATTTCGATGAAAATGTTTGTAGATCGACCTCATCGTAAGATTACGGCAGATTTCAGTTGTCTTGAGGTCTTTTGGTCTTAACACAACCTCCTGGTCTTTCCTGGTCTTGGGTGAAAATGAGCTGAGTCTTCGTCTGTCCTGTCATTTGACGGACATTTTACAATGTCAACAATGGGAGATTTGACCCCCTTCACCAATTGAGCACACTGCCTAGGAAGTCTATTGCAAATCGCTTGGAAAATTGCATGGATTTAGGCGTGAAATATGCTAGGCAACCAATCAGAGTTTCTTCTGTTGGTGACACACGAAAGGTTTGATCTCTCGGTCGAGAAAGAGGATATGGCTTCCAGAGTATTTGGGTGAAAGTTCAAGAGTCTGAATTACAATTAATTTGAGCATATTGAGTTATCAGCTCTCCACAGCTCTGGATTGTAAGCAAAAACAATTACAATATTTCACAATCCAAGTAGTTTACCATCAGGATATACGAAAAGTAGCGGAATTTCAACGTTTCTCTCGAGATCAAAATTGTTCTGGACACTTTCATTTCGTATGAAAGTGTGTCTAATTAAGAGATTTGTGGATCGAGCTCACCAAAAGTCAACGGCGATTCGGGATATTCTGAGGCTCTAGTACCACTTTCAGGCTGACTCAGTTCACGAGACATAATCGCTCGTTTCGAGAGCAAATAAAGATCACCTTTTTCCCACCATGCAATTCGATGGATGTTGTCAGAGCTGAAACGCATTCTTGCTAAAGCTGCAAGTTAACACTACACGAAGAAGACTGACCGATTCTATCCCACCAGTTTTGTGTACTTGTAAATAAAATCTGTAGGCATTGATGGAGATAGAATGGCTTGGCTAGTTTCCTTTCATATCAATCAAACTACGTATACTTGAGCACTTGTTTGTGTGTGTGCATGGGTTGACATCTTTACATGTGTAAAGCAGAGTAAGCAATACTGGCTATATCTCAAAGATATTACAATATTTAAGGACATCTACAAGGCTGGAAATCATTTTTGCAAAACCCAAGTTAAGAGGACTATCCGGCTCTACTCTAAATATACAATGATTTAGTTAGTTCTATTTTACACTCATCATGGCACTTATATTGAAGTGTGTGTGTGTGTACGCTATCCTAATTACAATGTGAAGGAGATCATCATAAATGAAACTCATTTTTACCAAATTTTGAAGCCAGGAGGATGAGTAAAGCAAACAAATATTTTTATTTTTAGGACGATGACTACGTAAAATCCTTGTTTTTAGTTTTTGATTAGGTTTTAGAGACTACCACCAAGTGCGATATATGAGATGTGTTCATCTGAAATATGTTGTTGGAAAGCCTATTAAAAAAGTATAAGTAATTTTGTCGATTGCTATACCAAATATAAGTTTGCTTGATCAAAAATCCCACAACAGAATGTGATACAAGAAATTCGCATCTGCCCGCTGACTCAAAAGCACTCGTGCCAATCTGCCGCAGTAGCCAACATGTCGAGAATATTTGCTACAGTGCCATGGTGCGAGTCCCGCTGATGGTGTTGATAAGGCCTAGACGAGGTAGAAATTGTACTCCACTTCCGCCTGGATAGAAATAACTTTTGGGAAAGCAAGCCTTTGTAAAATCCAACATAAATCCACCTACTACTCTTCCATCACCTTAAGCGGAATAGAGTAAATACAGATCATATATGTGAATTTCTTATCACCATGGCAACTAGCTCATGCATGTAAAATGTGCTTCAAAAGCCTTACTCGCTTTGTCTTGCACCTCCACTTGCACAAACGCTTCATCTTCATCTTGTCGGTGTTGTTTGCTGGCGATTTGATTCGTCTGAGACCGAGTCCAGACAAGCTTAGCCCCGGGAAACACAGGCTGGCCTCGAGTTCTGCCGAAAGGGTCGAGTCCGCCCGACAAGACTGTCCGTACGAGACCCTCCGCGGCTCGACCTTTCCCGAGTCTTCGTGTGCCGGCGTCTGCGTCTCCAGAACCCACCGACGGCCAGGCCTCTTCTGACGCCTCCGAAGAGGTGTCTCTGAGATGCAAGTGCAGACTGCCATCGTCGAGGTCGGCAGCCGCCGGTTCTGTCCGGGCGACTCCACCTCGCAAGGGTTCGACGTATCGGACACGTCGAGACCGACCGATGAACGTTGCCTGAGCCTCCGCCGGCGTCATGCTCGCATTGCCAGCCTTGTTGACCGTCTGCTTGTCCAACTGGACGAATTTCGTGGGTTGCCCAGAAGTCGCAATTCTCTGACCCAATAGTGACCCAAAACCAACGCTATTAGACGTCTCTGGAGGAGTGGACGACTCGGATCGCGCAGGCGGGGACAGATATGGATCGGAGAGCAATAGCTTCTGGGCCTCGGACAACCGGCCGGGGACAAGTTGGATGAAATGATCCGGCAGAGATATCAGTCGAGAGTTAGAGACGCAACTGCATGCATAAAATGAACAAATAAAGCATCTTATTGCAGATTTGACCAATTACGTCAAGCTGGTTAAAACAGAAAAACACTGTTCCACAAGCACTTTTATTAAATGCTTATTTTGAAAATCGCACGAATATGCTAAAAAACCAAGAAATCAAGATATCCACTCTTCTTGATAATGACTTGTTGTCGATATTGTTGCCGTTTTGCGTAAATATTTTAGTGCAAAAAGATCCGAATCCTACGAAAAACTCAATTGTCAGTCCTCAAAATCGCTCAAGCAAGCTAGGCTCGCTAAACTCTAGTTGAAAAATTGCGCATTGCTACTACTTAACAACTACTTATATCAAAAATAGCCAATGTCGGAGTTAGCGTAATGAATTAACTCCAGCATGGATGTGAGTCGGAGAGACATAGCTTGTTTTGAATATCGCATCTGCCCTATCATCTACTGGCAACAAGGATGAAACGGTCCTCAGGAATGCAGGATTAAGTGAAATCTAATGGCATTAAGTGTGGGAAAACGTGACCATCAGCCGAGGAATTAGCCTAAGCGGCGTAGGCAGACTGAACTATTTGTCCAAAGATGACAAAGCAATTCGAGCGTTTTGCTTGCATGGTTGCTTGATGGTGTTGAGAAATAGAGTTCATCCTTGACTATCAAAATTCCTTTAAATATAAAATAATAGTAAGAGTATGCAAAGTAGTAATATCTCTTGTAATATGGTAAAATTGTGTTATAGTGTAGTACAATAATTATGGTATAAAAGTGGTTAAAAGTTTCATTTATGCTATTTCCCCAGACTACAATCTTCCCTTTGAATGAAAATATAAATTCTTGTTTTCCGTTTATAAGTAGCTTTTCTAGATTGCCAGTAGATCATGTCTATGCGATGTATTCCCCTTACTTAGCAAAGGCGACTAATTAACAGTGCTTGAATTTTCCCACAAGCCGATGAGTAGACCATACGTTTCCACTGCATTTAACATAGCCCTACTATTCAAAAGGTATTCTCAACCCGGCAGCAGGAAACTGCACTTTTAACCTCGTCTAAGTCTGATCGGCAACTCCGGCGGGACTCAATTATGCACTGCCATACGAGGGCTCGAGTCCCGTTTGTGGTGCGGATGAGGCCAGTTCAGTGGAGATCGTAGCTGCAGTCCACTAGTGCCGGGATCAAAATAGCTTTTTGGAAGCAAGGCCATGTAAAACTAAATGGAAGCGTTAAGTATTTTCATGTCGTTGAGGGGAAAATTCAACCACCAATCTTTCGTCACCTTAACGAAACAGGATGATTGCATCTTACGGATATGGTCTAGTGGTAATATTATAGACGAAGAATGTAATTTAAACGCTTGGCTCTAGAATTAATTTAATTACGGTTCTTAGAGTAGAGGCATCAAACTACAGATAAAACGTCATTTTGATACAAAGTAGATAAGAACTAAATGGAAAATCCAGCCTTTTCGTCAGTTCATCACACCCTTTTGTCGACATTGAACTCAGATTTTTCGTTTCGTTTCTTTGGCTGAGCTTACTTCCCTTTCGAGCGAAAGTGTTTGGGCAAGAGATTCAAGAATAAAAAAGTTGTTGAGCATATTGAGTTTGATTGCCAAATTCACGGTTGTATGTATGAGAAAACTTTCCACAAAATGAATACAATGCTGGTCGTGTGAATGGGAATTTAAATGTTTCACTTGCAACCCTAAGGTCCACGGTTCGAGTCCCACTGAGGGTGCTGACGGGGCAAGGAGGCAAGGTTGGAGCTGCAATTCTGGCAGGGGAGGATAATGACTTTTTGAGATGCAGCTTTCATGCTTCAACGTGGGCAAACGCACTATCAGTGCAGTAAATAAGGCAGTAGAACCTGGCCCTAGCGAAAAGTTGTCTGTCCCAGGACTTCGGAGGAAGCAGATTCTTAATTATTTATCAGAAAGTTGAAAAGAAAATGTAAACGATACGCGAAAGATTTTACTGAAGTTTCGTCTTTTCTGCCCACAATCGACGTTATCGGCTTAATCAACTTGGAGGCAATGGAGAGAACCAATACAATATTTACTCATTACACATTGGCCACATTGGCATGACTATGCAGTCCATTTCTGCCATTCTAAGAGAATTATCAAAAGCACCAGCAACCGAGTTCGCTCTTAGACTGGCACGATTGGAAGGCATGCATTGGATCCTTTTGCTCGAGAAGAAAAGATTCCTACCTCCTCCCAAAGGAT